CCTACTGGGGAAAAACATATCTTAACTAATATTAACTGACCGGATTAGATAAGACCAAACATGACTAAGCTAGTTAGCAGGATTTCTAGCTAAGTGTCAGCCTAGCTAGTCCTCTTACAGTATTATCTGTGTTTCTTGAGTTGGCTCTGGACTTGTTTAGCACTGTTTGTCCCATTTTACCCCCACCTTTTCTTCTGAAAGTACATGAGGACTTGTACCTCTTTTGTGTTCATCTGTGCTGATACAAAGAGAACAACTAAAAACGTTCAGTTTCTATTTGACATGTACTTTGCTTGTGTTTTGGAAACTATGTAGTGAGAGTTGGTTAGGGCTGGGCGATGAGGCTAAGAATCTGAGCACAATTTAGAAAAGAAATAAATAAATATCAGGTGATAGTTGTTATTGTGAAAGCTTGTTCCTGCAATTCGGGGGGGAAATGTATTTGTCTTCCGTAGGTCGACGTTTCAAGTTATGTATCTTGAAATTTCAAGATCCTGAAAAGTAACTTGAAAGTTAAACTTACCAACTCAAAATTTCATGTCTTGATTTCTCTGCTTTTACTGAGCAGTAACCTTAAAAATCAAGATACTCAATAGTACTATTCAATTTTTGAAATATCTAAACTGAACTGTTAAAATTTTGACATACCTTTTACCTGGCGATTACTTTTGTATTATTAGTATTATTATTATTATTATTATTTTACCTGAAGAAAACAAGCTTCCATACATAATTACTATAATATAAATCAGTGCATTATTTATTTGAAGTTTAAAGGCCCGGTGCTTGAAAATGTTGACGTTTGCTGCTGGATAAGTCGTATGGAAGTGAGGGTCTGCGTCTACTAACAACACTAGTTTGGGACTGTAATTACTTTCTGCTATTTGAAGAAAAAATAATGCCTGATGTTAGCTGATCTGTTCATTCTCCAGATTATAAATTGCCAAATGTCATTTCCAAACTACTGAAGCAGAGTTACCTTTCTAACCGAGGATATCTTTGCCCTTCCAGCATTCGCAAAACCATTATTGAGCTTTTGTTAAATTTTTATTGAGTTTATACTGTGATAACCACTGTTGCTGTTTTATCGCCCAGCCCTAAGGTGGATTTGTGGTTAAGAATTTGGCATTATAGACAATCAGTTCATTTTCAAAATGATCCCTTTAGCTGTACGTTGAAAGAGGAGCTAAATGAAGGGGTGAGAGGGATGGGCGGATGGGTCGGTTGGAGTGGGGGTGAAATCACGACACTATTTTGTGTTCCTGAACTGTATTACCCGCTGCACAAACAAACACAAATAAAAGGGCTAACGTCACCCCTGGACCAGCCTATCCAAACGAACCCATAACAGGAGGGCTATTGATCCTGATAGCATGTATATGTTTTCTTTTTCATGTAAAGATTGATAATACTTAATAATCTTGTACATATTCTTTTTCTTTTTTCTTTTTTTTTTTAAATATCAAGCAACCTCATAAGCAAATCAAACCTCAGCGGCTCATAACGGAACTGTAGGCCAGCAGAAGTCAGCCATTTACTCGAGATATTGAACAACCACAACTGAGCTGACTTGTAGCTGCCGTTAAGTGGCACTAACAACTTCCAAAACTACTACTACTATTAATACTATTAGTAATATTAGCATGGACTGTCGTAACACAATCAAGAGAGAAAGGGAGTCAGTTTCCTCCATTTTGTAATGTTTATATTTTTGTCAATACATCAAATCATTTGGGCCTCACAAACGTTTAATGAAATTTAGAAAGCTAAAGTACGATAAAAATGTAAAATTTCCCTTTTTGAGCTGTTAATGAATAAAAATTAAATATTAGTTTCTTTCAAAGCAGAGCGAGTCCCAATACAGCATTCATTCCTCCGTTATTTTCAGCAGCTAACATCTTATCTAAAGCTGTGAAAACTAAAAATTATACATTTGCATTTAGATCATTTTGATTTGGAAAATACGAAGATAATCAAAAGCTTTTGAAAATGTTTGGCTTTTCCTCTTGTTTTAGTGCCTTAGCAGTTATGTTGTTGCTCAAAATTGAAAAAAATTATTAAAGCTTGTAAGCTAGTGGCTAACAATAATCCATCATGCTAGCTAGCTTACTAGCTTATTTATTTTTAGCTTAGTCAGCATCGGTTGATTAATGCATTTGAATCATGTTTAATAAATGTAAAAAACAAACAAACAAACTATGGAGCAGATTATGGAAGAAACTAGCTAAAAGTTAGCTAAAATGCTAACACCCAGATAGCGTCGTCTAAATGGTTTGTCAGCGGCTTAAATCGGCTTAAAATTTTCCATAATTGAAGCATTTCCTCAGAGTTTAATAGAATGTATCAGCATTTCCATAGATTTACTTTTTTATTTATTTATTTTTTTGCAACTTTCCCACTCTAGTCAAAGCGAGTAAAGTTAACCATGATGCTAATCACAGTTGAGTTAATAAGTTTCGTGGCCGGGAGGAAATCCTCCCTTTCTCTCTGAACTGTTTCCTGTTTTGTTAGCTCCCTCTGTGCTCCCTCTGGATTACGTGTGTGTGCGCGCACGGCCATATGAATACTGGACTTCCATTCGAATGCACGTGGACTGTTTTTAAATGTATTTATTTGGAGCCCAGGCGAGTGTGTCTGTGTGTGTGTGTGTGTGTGTTTAGTTTCTACAATGACTTGAGAAGAAGCCATGTATTAAGAATATCACATTTATGCTGCAGAACTGTTTTGAGAAACTGATGGTTTGTGTCGTGGACTAACCGGCTCACCATAGGTGCAGCGGGCCGGGGTGTGAATCGGACTAGCAATAAGAATCCCTCTGAATCCAAAAAGCTTTATGTAGATCTCCTGTATATGAGTTGAGAACAGATTGTTTGGGTCTATTGGTTTTATTGTGTTGTTAGTTTTTGTTATTTTTTTCTCTATGATATATAAATGCGTATAAAACTGTGAAAATCCATTGTGTTCAGTTAAAGGGTGACTTTTAGGTTAGGATTTTGTTTTTTTTGCATGTTAATCTAATTTGTTCAATTATGGATGATTTCTCTTTTCTCATCACTTCTTGTGCTACACACACACACATATATATAAATGAAATTATATATAACCTCGCTCTCAGGGTCTTTCACGAATCCATATTCAAAATGCTTCATGTTCTTATTTCCTGAGTTGCAACTTGTCCTGATTACGTTGTCTCTCTCTTTTTTTTTTTTTTTTAAATAATGATTCAGAACTGTCAATCACTACATTTAGCACTTGACTGTGAACTCGTCAAAAACAAATGTGTGGTTGGATTAAAAGACCCCTCCCCTCCTTCCACACACACAGATATTTGGTTGAAGTCCTCCTCTGGTTCGGTTTCGCCCTCCTGTGTAACGTTGCGTCCCGGTCAGAGGTCAAAGGGAACGTCAGAGAGGAGATTTCTAAACACACTCGCACAAATGCTGGACCTCAATCAGAAAGCATTAAGACACAATCGTCTGAAAAACGTTGATTTCTTTTCCTCTGTGGTGGTTTCCCTCGTCTGTCCTCTCAAACATGACAGTGTTTCACAAAGTCAAGAGATGTAAACCTGTTCTGTATTCAACCCAATAAGAGAAAGCAATAAAGAATATATCAAGGAAAGGTGTGTGAATCAAAGACCGTCCACGGCGTGGTCTTTTTCTTTTTGTCACAAGTGTTTAAATGAGTTTTAGGAGGCAAATGTTATGTAAAAAACAACAAATTCCAGTCGAGTTATTGGAGAAAATATCTGATCTTATTCAGTTCATATTTACATTACATTGTGTTCTTTAACGCTGTAGAAGTATTTTTGC